GAATCCCCACACCCAGCCCCTTTCCCCTGGGCTTCCCCACTGCTTATGGCTCCTGCCAAGCCTCGAGCCCCCCAGGAGGGCCTTGGTAACAGGGCTCAGGGCCGCCCATCTGAGCTGCTCCCCTGGAAGATGGGGTGGCAGCCCTCGGCTCCTCCTGGGCGAACCCAAGGCCGGCGACCGATTCATGCCCCGGGTGACCCTGACAGCGCCAGCTCTAGCAGCACGTCTCACCAGGAGGGCTGCCTCTGTTTAGAAAAACCGGAAAGTGCGTGAGAGAATTCTACACCCCAGAGTCTTCTTGAGTAGAAGTGGCCACGGCTCCCAGGTGGCTCAGATGGGGTTGGCGTGAGCTAGTTGTTGATGGAAATGTGACTTGGTGGGAAGGTTCCGGAAGGGGCAGTGAGGCGAGGTGGGGCAGGAATGAGGAGATGACACCACAGAAATTCAAAAGCCCCAAGCAGTGGCTCCCCACCTGTGCTTCTCGTACTCCCAGGGTCCCTGCACACTGGAGCGGGTCCCCTCCCCACCAGCTCAAAGTCCGAGACAGGCGGGGTGATGGCGGGGAGGCCGCTGTGGGGAGGGGCAGACCAGGGTCTGGGGTGCACAGATTTCCCTTTGGGAATAAAAGTCACGGTTGGAAGTTTGAGGAAGAGGGAGGTGAGCTCCACGCTCCTGGGTGCTCCATGGACCGGCGTCCTGTTAAGCCAGGGCCTGGGCTGGGTGAGCCTGAGGCACAGAGGCAGCGAAGGCAGGATTTGCTAGAGTTAGGAAGGTCCTTCCACCCCCTCCTCCATGCGTCTGGCCTGCCATCCTTCTGACCTAGAGAGACACAGAGAAGGAGAGACAGAGACAGACAGATGGAGAGACAGAGATGGAGAGACAGAGGCAGATAGACAGAGATGGAGAGGCAGAGAGAGACAGACAGAGAGACAGTGATAGAGAGACAGAGGCAGATAGAGAGACAGAGATGGAGAGAGAGAGGCAGACAGACAGATGGAGAGGCAGAGAGAGACAGAAACAGAGACGTAGAGACAGAGAGAGACAGACAGAGAGAGACAGAGAGACAGAGATAGAGAGACAGATGCAGATAGACAGAGATGGAGAGACAGAGGGAGACAGAAGCAGAGATGGAGAGGCAGAGAGACAGAGATAGAGAGACAGAGGCAGACAGAGATGGAGATGCAGAGAGAGATAGAAGCAGAGATGGACAGACAGACAGAGACAGACAGAGAGACAGGGACACATGATATCAGTGGTCTGGGTCTACGTCTGTGGTTGGATCTTGGGCTGCAGGTGCCCATCGAGGACTGAGCTGTGAGGGAGACGGGGTCGGAGCTGAGCCAGCCGGGAGGGGCAGGGCACGCTGGAGTGGAAGGCAGCCGGTGGATCCCCACATATGTGAGCTGTTCCATTTTCTGTCACAGAGAAAGGCAGAGACAATCTCACTCCCGTGGCTCTGCCTTTGTCAGGGAACCAAGAAATGCAGCAGGAGGAGTGTGGTCTCCTTCCTTATCACGACTGACATGGAAAAATCACAAGGGAGGCAGCTTCCCTGTGGCAGAGGCCCGAGGCAGGTGCTGCTCAACCCCTGGACAGCAGCACCCATACCCGGACAGTGGAAAGAGAAAAGGAACAGAGTCCAGGGGGTGGGCTGTGAGGATCAGGGGCTGGGGCCCCATCCCATGGGCTGGTCTCCCTCCATGGAGATGCCAGGGTGCCCTCTTCACCTGCCATCCTCATCACAGGTGGTGTTGGTCATCTGTGATCTCCCTGGCACCCCTCCCACAACCCCATGCACCACCTGGTGCAGCCCTGGTGGCTGCAGGAATGGCTGCGTGGGTGGGCGTGGGCAGCAGGTACAGGAGACCTGCACACGTACAGAGGGCGTCAGGAAGGGACAGCGTCGGGGGCTGCTTGCGTAGCCTCGGTTCTTGCTGGGACCTGAACTGGAGCAGGCTGTGGGACAACCACACTTCCCAGTAGGAAATTCACCCTGAGAGCTTGTGGGCCAAGAGGCAGCCAGGAGACCAGGGGTCGTCTGGGGTGGGTTTGGCTGGTCCAGGGCACTGCAGAGTCTGGGGCTGGGCTGCTGCTGCTGTGGGCAGGGCTGGGGGATCAGGTCATTGAGCTCCTGCAGTGATTTCTTCTTTCTGCTTTAATCCACAGCAAGGTGCACAAACTCCAGCTGTGGGTGAATGGAGCCCTGCCCCTGTCCACACCTGCTGCTCTGGGCCAGTGGCCTTTTCCACCGGAGGGGACGGGGTCTTGCTCCAAGGACGGCCCTCCCAGTGCAGTCCCCAGTCCACTGGGCCAGAGGCCGCAAGGCAGTGCTGGTTAAAGATGGCTGGTCCAGGGCCTGGCCTCAGTCAGAACATCCAGGTAGGAAGACCCTACTGCAGACCGAGGAGGACCCTACTCTCTCTACCCAGGTGTGCAGGGCTCACAGGGCAGGTGGGGACCCTCCCAGAAGCTCCCACTGAGGCCTCAGGAAGAGCCACAGCCTCCTCCCACCCCAGATGGCATGAAACTGGCACCCATTCTTGGTGCCCCGTTCCTTGCCTCCAGTCACTCCTTCTGTCTGCCCCCTGCACACACAGCCCTGCACACATATACACTTGTGCACTTACACACCCCTGCACACACACCCCTGACCTCACACTTGTACACACACATCTGCACTCACACCTGCACACACTCTTGCACACACCCTGCACTCACACATCTGCATTCACACTTCTGACCTCACAGTTGCACACACAGCTGCACACACATATGTACACTCACACACTTACACATGCACACCCCCGCACTCACTCCCTTCCACTCACACACACCTGCATACACACCCCTGCACACACACCCCTGCACTCACACTCCTGACTTCACACTTGCACAGACACATCTGCACTCACACCTGCACACACATATACACACACACCAGCACTCACACACTTGCACACACTTTGAATTCACACCCATGCACTCACACTTCTGACCTCACACTTGCACACACATCTGAACATACACACGTGCACACACACACACAGGCACACCCCTGCACTCACACACACCTGCATACACACACCCCTGCACTCACACACACCTGCACACACACACCCCTGCACTCACACACACTTGCACACTCACCCCTGCACAGATCTCAGGCCAGCACTTGGCCACCAGGGAGGTTGGGAAGTAGAGGAAGGTGCCCAGAGGCAGAAATCATAGATCCAGGGCAGCAGCTGGGCCCTGGAAGGTCCACAGGGAGCGCTAGGACCCCCTAAGGCCCAACCAAACAGGCAAACTTGAAGTTGAGTGTGGCTGCTGTTGAGTGACATCCTGCACCCAGAAGGAGGAAGAGGGATGGAGGCCAGAAGCTGCCACCCTGCACTGAGCCCTGCCCGGCCCTGGCCCCTTCTGGAACCTGCATGCGAGTGCAGGGTGGGGCCTTCCCAGGGCGCAGGGGCTGTGGGTGGGGTGCGAGATGCTGTATTGGTCCCTGGCCCCTTGACTCAGGCACGGCCAGCTCAGAGTTGGAGGGTGTGTGGGAGCCCAGACTGAGTCAGCCATGGGCGGCAGCTACTCTGTCTTCCAGCACATAGGGGATGGGCCCGAGGTCTCCTCAGGCTCACCTGAGTCCCTGTGTCTGCAGCCAGGGGTGGGGAATGAGACTTCATCTTCTAGCCTGGCTGTTCCCAAGGCTGACCTGAGAGAGCTGCCTCACCCTGGCCTGCTGATGGAAGCCTCCAGAAAGACCCTGCAAATCAGGCCAGGCCTTCCCCAGCCCGGGCTTTGGAGCCTCCCTGATGGGCTGGGGGCATTTCATGCAAACCTAACCGGACCCTTGGCAGGACCTTTGGCTGGGAGCTGACTTCACAGTGAGCTTATGAGGGGCAGGCGCTCAACTAAGCTCTTTCCTTTATTACCTGACTCCGTCCTCAGAGCACCCTGCACAGACTGTGTCATCCCTGCCCCCTCTCCATCTTTGGAGAGAAAACAAGCTCAGTGGGTTGAACTTGGGACTACCCACATCCCATGGTGGGCGGGGGTGCGTCACTCCTAGAGTTAACCCTGCAGCACCAGCCCAGAGTAGCCCCCTAGTGTCTATCTAAGAACCCTGGGGCCAAGCCAGTGGTCACCCTGAGGCCAGCGGTACTCCTCAAACCAGACCCCAGACTCCCTGGAAGCTGGAACCTACGGGGGCTGGGCAGCCTCTCCTCAGCCCCATGCGGCCCCAGGCAGGAGGAGGGAGGGCAGGGCGGGGCTGGGGTACAGAGGCAGGCGCCACATTCGAGGGCTGGCGGGCATCTCTGCAGCTGCAGCAGGGAAGGAGGGAGTGGGGAAGGGGCAGACCACAGGGGCTCTGTGGCCTGGAGATCCGCACTTAATCCAGATGGCAAAGGAGGACCCAAGGCGGGTGAGCAGGAAGCACCTGACCTCACCCCACGCTGGCCTCTGGACACGCGAGGGCAGGAGGATGGGGCAGGAGAGCGGCTCATGGCCTGGGCTGGGAGTGGCTCCAGGGCTGGACAGAGGGAGCTGGTGGGAGACGTTTGCAGTAAGCAGGAACAAGGGGCAGAAGCCCCGTGAGGGCTCAGTGCCCAGCACGTGCCGAGTGCCATCCCAGGGCTGGTCTGCGTCACCCCCGCAGGAACAGGCAGAAGCTCCCGTGAGGGCTCAGTGCCCAGCACGTGCCGAGGCCATCTGGTGGTGGCTGGTCTGCGTCACCTCTCCACCCTCCCCACACCCAGGCAGGCCCCACCCTCCACCCTCCCTGCACTCCAGGCAGGCGCACCCCCTCCACCCTCCCACACCCAGGGAGCCTGCCCCCTCCACCTCCCCACACCCAGGCAGGCCCCACCCCCTCCACCCTCCCCACACCCAGGCAAGCTTACCGTGAGCAGGAGGTGAACAGGGATGTGAGGGTGATCCTGGCATTCGTGGCTCCAGCAGCCGGTGGACAAACACACTGGGGGCCAGGGGGCCTGGGGAGGAGGGGCTGCAGTCCTGAATGAGCCCACATCCTCCTCTGCCCTCTTCCCAGCCCCCCTCAGGCCACAGGCCTCATCCCAGAATCCAGGACAGACGTGCAATGCAGTTAAACTGCCCCGACAGCCACTCCACACCCAGTCCAAACAACAGCTTCCCATCACTTTAGACGCTGGGCGGTGCTGGGGAGGCGGCGTCATTCCTGGGGTAAGGTTGCGGCGGAACTTGGAACTTTTAGGTGGCGGGTGGGAAGGTGGGGTGGGTCTGGGCAGCACAGAGGAGGGAGCTGGTTGGGGGCACTCTCCCTTCCCCAGAGTCATGGCGCTGGAGAAAGGCCCTCTCCTGCTGCTGGCCCTCGGCCTGGGCCTGGCGGGTGCCCAGAAGGCTCTGGAAGAAGTGCCGGTACAGCCGGACTTTGATGCGCAGAAGGTAAGTGTCATGGGTCCAGTCCCCAGACTCGGGCTTGGAACACGGGCTGGGGATGACACGAGTGTCACATTGAGGAGGTGCAGGGGGTGGGGGCAGGTGGGCGGGGGCTGGGGTTTGGGCCCTGCCTGACCCTGCAGCAGCTCTGGAGGGTGAGCTGCACCTGAGCCTGGGTCCAACCCAGGCAGGAACGGGCTCTGTCCTCCTGCACAGCCGGAACCAGCGGCCACTGATTAACCTCGGGGCGCTTCCCTCTCTCCTGGCTCTGGAAGCCGCAGCACAACAGCAGTCTCAGGAGAAGGCTGCAGGGCGGCGTCCAGTGAAGCAGAGCACCCAGACGCTGGGCCTAGGCAGGGAGCAGGGGAAGGGTTCACCCTGGGTGACACGAAGAGGCCAGCCCCGGGTGCAGGGAGGGTCCCAGTTCCTCCTCCCTGTGTGACCCCTGGGGTCCTGGTACTGCTGGTGGGAGTGCAGGGATGGAGGGACGCCCAGCACACAGCCAGACCCTCCCCTCTACCCTCCCTGGCCAGGGGAACAGAGCTTAGAGCAGGCAGGGGCAGGGGTGCGGGACCGAGAGAAGTGTGGGTTGCAAGTGGGGAAGGGGATTGGACAGAGATCTGAGAGAAGGGGACGGGAGGTGACTCTTCCCAAGAAGGAAGCTCAGCTTATCCTCCACCTGGACCCACAGATGGGCATTTGCCAATATAGACCAGGAAGAGGGAACGTTTGCCAATGCAGCCCCCTGGGAGGGGCATGACCACCTGGTGACCATGCTCAGTGCCAAAGCTGGGGCCTGAGAGCTCAGAGGGTGGCCCACTGGTGCCCACAGCCAGGCACTAGCCGGCCTCTCCCACCCCAGCCCGCACCCCTGCAGGTGGAGGGGGTGCCACACGGCCAGGCACCCCACCCTCTCCTGCCCCAGCCCACCCCTGCAGGTGGAGGGGAATGCCACACGGCCAGGCACTAGCCCTCTCCTGCCCCAGCCTGCACCCCTGCAGGCAGGAGGGAGTGCCACACGGCCAGGCACTAGCCCTCTCCTGCCCCCAGCCCGCACCCTGCAGGTGGAGGGGGTGCCACACGGCCAGGCACTAGCCCTCTCCTGCCCCAGCCCGCACCCCTGCGGGTGGAGGGTGCCACACGGCCAGGCACTAGCCCTCTCCTGCCCCAGCCTGCACCCCTGCAGGTGCAGGAGTGCCACACGGCCAGGCACTGGCCCTCTCCTGCCCCAGCCCGCACCCCTGCAGGTGGAGGGGCGCTGGCTCACCCTGCAGCTGGCAGCCAGCCACGCAAACCTAATACTCTCCGGCCGACCCTCTGGGGGAGGCTCGCTCTCCACTCCATCCAGACCAGGGCCGGTGGGGACGTGGACTTCGTGCTGTTCTGGAAGTAAGCATGGCTCCTGCTACCCCTCTCAGGTGCTCACTCTAGGGCAGGGACCCCCAAGGGACAGTGACAGTGTTCGAGCAGAGGAACACATCACACCCAGCTGAGGCAAGACCCGCTCCAAGAGAGCAAGCTCGCTGCCAGAGGCCGAGCGGGCAGGAAACACCAGCCCAGCCCCGGAGGCCACGTCAATGCCCAGCAGACATACCATTGGGCCCTTGGGCCTGTGTTCCAGCTGTGAGAAGCCCGGGTCTGGCGTTTAAATGTCGTCTCAGTGTTTGAAAGTTGCCTAATTCCCAACAACCCCTCCCGGGCACAGCACCGGAGTCCGCGCCCCTTTCAGCCCCAATGTAGATCAGGGAATCCCAAGGACAGCTGCACTTGTCAGCAAAGAAAAAATCGGCCGTGGGGACAAGCTGTGCAAGCCAGTGACACCGACAACAAGCTCACATTGTTCCACCTGCACCCACAGCTCTGAAGGCAGTGAGACCCACATCCTAGTAACCTCCAGTCATAGACACACCGTGTGAGAGCCTACAGAGTCCGGGGTGCACTAGCCCTCTCCTGCCCCAGCCCGCACCCCTGCAGGTGGAGGGGCGCTGGCTCACCCTGCAGCTGGCAGCCAGCCACGCAAACCTGGTCTCTCCGGCCGACCCTCTGAGGCTCGCTCTCCACTCCATCCAGACCAGGGACGGTGGGGACGTGGACTTCGTGCTGTTCTGGAAGTAAGCATGGCTCCTGCTACCCCTCTCAGGTGCTCACTCTCAGACCCAGGGACCCCCAAGGGACAGTGACAGTGTTCCGAGGCAGAGGAACACATCACACCAAGCTGAGGCCCAAGACCCCGCTCCAAGAGGGGCAAGCTCGAAAGCTGCCAGAGGCCGGCGGGCAGGAAACACCAGCCCAGCCCCGGAGGCCACGTCCAGTCGCAGCAGACATGCCCATTGGGCCATGGGCCTGTGTTCCAGCTGTGAGGGAAGCCCGGGTCTGGCGTTTTAAATGTGCGATCTCCAGTGTTTGAAAGTTGCCTAATTCCCAACAACCCCCTCCCAAGGAGCACAGCCACCCGGGTCCACGCCCCTTTCAGCCCCAATGTAAGTCAGGGAATCCCAAGGACAGCTGCACTGTCAGCAAAAGAAAATCGGCCGTGGGGACAAGCTGTGCTGAGCCCAGTGACACCGACAACAAGCTCACATTGTTCCACCTGCACCCACAGCTCTGAAGGCAGTGAGACCCACATCCTAGTAACCACTCAGTCATAGACACACCGTGTGGGGGCCTGCAGAGTCCCGGGGTTGGCGGGTACCCACCCCAAATGAGAAACTGAAGACCCCAGAGCAAAGAGCATGGGAGTAAGGGGGGCTCTGTCTGTGCACAGAGGCAGGAGCATGGGGGTGAGGGTCCTCTGTCTATGCACAGAGGCAAGAGCATGGGGGTGAGGGACTCTGTCTGTGCACAGAGCCAGAGCAAGTGGGGACAGGCAGGACAGGCAGGGTCCCAGCCCCTAAGACCTGCAGTTCGGAGCCGAGGCCAGACTGGGACCAACCCACTCCAGGAGGTTTGGTGTCATCCCAGAAATGAGGAGGACCCCACTTCCTCACTCCAACCCCATCCCCAGCACCCCCTGGGCATCGCCTCCTCCTGGCTGCATGACCCTGGTGCCTGTGTCAGGACAAGGCTGACCCTGAGCCTGGGGAGCTGATGCCCTGGGGAGGACAGGAGGGCTCTCAGCTGGTGGCACCCCAGTGTCCGCTGGTAGAGAGGCCTGAGAGGGTCACAATATCCTGGGGCAAGACAACAGGACAGAGTTGGAGGCTGACCAGGCCCTGGTTCCCTTCTCCTTTCCCAGGGGAGAAGGGGTGTGTAAAGAAGCAAACATCACCGTCCATCCAACCCAGTTGCAAGGCCAGTACCAAGGCTCCTGTGAGTGCCCCTGTCCGGGATCCAGGCTGGGCTCTGAGTGGGGAGAGGCGAGCAAGGGACGCTCGGACGCCCGGTCCTGGCCGCAACACTCAGGAGGGGGCTGTTGGCTTTGGGGGAAGACCAGGTGCTGGAAGGAGGCCGTGCATCCTCTTGGTTGCACTGCACTGTCCACAGGGCTTGAGGGGGGTCCAGGGCCTGGGGGACAGAGGAGCGAGGCATCGTGTATCACCCGGCCCCGGGGTCTCCCACAGTTGAGGGCGGCAGCATGCACCTACGCTTCGTCAGCACCGACTACAGCAACCTCATTCTTTACGTGCGCTTTGAGGATGACGAGATCACCAGCCTGTGGGTGCTACTGGGTAAGTGGCCAGCTCTCCCCAGCGCTGGCCGAGGCAGTGCCCCGGTTCCCAGATAGGAAGGAGGAGCTGCCGGACACTCCCGGGTCTGTGCGGAGACTTGCCGTCCTGTCGGGGAGGGGCCTTCTGTGCAGGGTGTTCTGAGGGCTCAGGCAGCCTCGGGCTGAGCTGCAGCTGAGCGCACCCTCAGGGAGGGTGTCCCCACGCAGGACGTGCACTGTGGGTCGGCTACGAGGTGGGCACGGCTCTGGGCGCTGCACTGGGAGCTTGAATTATCAGTGGATGGAACTGAGAAAATGCTTTCCTTGTCTTCCTCCTTATCAAGCAATGTCTCGGGGTCCTGTGGGGTTCCTGAAAGTAAAAGCACCGTGGGAGAAGGGCTCGAAGGGCACAGGGGACAGAGTCGGGGACATCGAGGGGCTGCAGTGTCCTGAAGACAGGTGGAGATAGATGGGCCTGGGGGCATTTCAGGGCAGAGGATCAGCCGGAGCCCGAGCCCGGGATGGGGTGGGGGAGCGGGACAGCAGCAGTCGAGAGGCCCCAGGGCTGAGAAGGTTGAGGGGGTGGGAAGGGTGGCGCCAGGCCGGAACTCAGGACCCTCTGGGGATCTCCACTGAGGCGGGCCAGGCCTGACTCCCTCCTTCCAGGGGCACTTTACCTGCTGTGCTCAGAACAGTCCTGTGTTTAGAGGAGACAAGGTTGGGGCCACTGCAATCAGAGCTGGCTGGGCCCGGGAGGTCGCAGAGGGGGTGCTGCCGTGGGCCGACGAGCCCCCAGCCCATGGCAACTTAGCGGTGGGGTAGCAGATGCCCAGGGCTTCTGCCTCCCCGTTGTTCTCCGCAGAGGAGGAGGGCAGAAAAGACAGAGGCTCCAGGCCTCAGTCCCTCACTGTCAGCTCCTCTGATTCCAGCCAGAAGAATGCAGGAGGACCCCAAATGGGTGGGAAGATACTTGGAGTACGTGGAGAAATTCCACCTACAGAAAGCCCCAGTCTTCAACATAGATGGTGAGCACTGCCCCCCAGCCACGTCCCGGAGCCGGACGGGAGGAAGACCCAAGGGTCTGGGCCTGGTCTTCCCAGCCAGCACCACGGAGGGTGTAGCCCATCCCCACTCCCTTTACGGCCAGGCCTGCGCGGGCTGCTTCAGGGGCTGCCGGATCTCACCAGCCCCACGTGACACAATGATAGGGGCCCGATGCCGTCTCCACTCTTCAGATGTGGCTCAGAGATGTTCAGTAACAAGGCCAAGTTGCACAGCCAGGAGGAGGAGCTGGAAGGGATCCAGATCTCCTGCCTCCTGAGCCAAGTGCCCAGCCAGCCTCTCCCCTCTCTTGCCTCCCAACACATCATTCAGTCAATCAACAAACACACGGGCCAGGCCTGTTCTGGGAGTTTGGGCTTCACTTAGAACAAGATAGACGCATCATCCAGCCCTAGTGCAGGTTACGTTGTAGCAAGCGTTGTAATTACCTAATTTGTTAGAGGCAAGGGCTACAGGGGTGGAAGTGGGGGCTAGGGTAGGGTTTGGGGAGCCTGACCATGCTGTGTGAGTACAGGCAGCCAGGGTGGGTGGCCCTGAGATGGGATGAGGTGAGGAAGGCTCCCTGGAAGAAGAGTCATGCAGATGGAACAGGAGTCGAGCAGAGGAGGGCAGGGATGAGATCCAAGGCTGAGTGGGGCAGTGGTGGGGCCTTGTGGGTCCCCAAGGGAACTGGGTTTCCACAGAGCACAGGGCCCTGGCAGGACACAGCCAACATGGGGAGGCAGAAGGCCAGGTGATGCCACTGAGGGACGGCTGTTTTGTGCTATGTGATTGATTGATGGATTGATTGATTTCAAAATGAATGAGTGAAGTCCTCAGAATCACCAACTTTTTCTTTTCTGCTCCACAGGCCCTTGTCCCCCACCCCGAGCCTAGGTCTGGCGGCTCCGGAGTCTTCCTGCCTGGGCCCCTTACCCCTCTGTTGCCCTCAGGCCCCCCTTCCACCTCCTTCACCTTGGTTTGTGGCCTAGACTGCCCCAGCTGCCTGCTGGAAGCCTTTTGCATCTCAGGGACCCAACGAAGCTCCCCAGCCTGGGGCCCAACCCTGCCTGTCTCCTGGTCCCCTCCCCTGCTGGGAAGGCCTCTTCCTTCTCTGGGTCTCCAGGTCCTACCAACCACCTGCCAACCAACAGCCAAGGGCCAACAGCATGCCCCAGCCTGGCCTGTGGACTTGGAGCACACCCAGGGTGGTGAGGAGGGGGCACGTAGCCCCCTGAGCTCCTGCCCACAGCACCAGATGCCTCCAAAACATATACAATGAGTGCAACACTGTAGCCCCAGGCGCCTCCGATGCACCCCCTGAGAGCTGCTGGGGTGGCCCCCAAGTGTCCTTCAGGAACTTGACCCCATGGAGGCTGTTCTCAGACTCCAGCTCGTCTCCACTCTGACCCGCCTCACCTGGGTCTGCTGGGGACCCTCTAGAGAGCCGGCCTCCATGCTCCGTGAGCAAACACATATGTCCCTACCGAGGTCCGAGAACCCTGAGTGAGCCCAGCTCCAGACCCTGCTCCCCGTAGGAGTCCAGCGGAGCCGCCAGGTAAACAAGGACGGCTCTACCTGTGTGGCAGGTGAGACTGGCCAACGCCCACTCCTCCGAGCCCAGGATTCTGAAGGGCAGCACCCGCTTCTGCTCCCGGTGAGCCAGGGCCACCCATCGGCAGGGCAGGCTCTGAGGAAATTGGGTCAAGGACTTGATACTTGTCGTCCTTGGAACTCCCAAGACAGGTATGGCCAGAGGCTGCCCCGAAAACGCCTCCAGTGAGGCCTTCTCCCCCTTCTCCCCCTTCTCCCGCTTCTCCCCCATGTGGGATAAACACAACGGAACGAAACCCAGAGCTGGTGGTGAAGCTGATGATGAAGCCCCACGGTTCTCCTGAAAATCAACAAGCCCGGCTGGAAAAACACAAGGAAAAACGACACTCACAAAGCACACGTGTAACAAGAGGTTTATGGAATTTGTAAGATCATAAAAAATAGCTTTTTCTGGGGCCCTAAAATGACCGGGATAAAGAGCGACGCGAGAGTGCTGTGTCTGTCTCAGCATCGCTGAGTTGATAACCTCAGGTTCACCCACACACTTCAGCAATTCCATTACTCTTCCAGTGGGATTTTCCCCAAACTGCAGATCTGTATCTAAAATTTACATGAAGGAATAAATGTTTGCAAACATTTTTAAAAGAAGCATCATGCAGATGGCTGTACCATTCTATCCTAATATCAAACAGCAGTGATGAGAAGCGTTGTGACATTAGCTCAGGGCAAAAGAACAGCAAGAAACTGGGTATCAAGTCAAGGAATGAACCCGAATGTATACAACAACTTCAGAGATGGTACAAATGGCCTGTCCTAAAAAAGCATTATTTATTCAATACATAGTGTGGAGGGAAATGGGCAAGACAGATCGGGGGAAATGAGATTGGCTATCTCACCTACACATTATCTTAAAATTCGTTCCTGATCAATTCTGAATAAAAGGAAGGACATCTTGAAACTTCTTTCTATAACTTGCGGATGGGGTGCCTACACGGACAGTATCAACACCAGGGGAAAGGTTGAGAGCTTTCAACTTGGCACATCAAAGACATCATCAACACTATCAAAATGGAAAGAACAATCTGAAATTAACATTTGCAGCAAAAGTGACAAAAGATTCATATCACATATGCAAATACATATGTAAATCAGAACTCCTTGAAGGGCCAGGCGTGGTGGCTCATGCCCGTAATCCCATCACTGTGGAAGGCTGGGGGCCAAATGATGGTTTGAGCCCAGGAGTTTGAGACCAGCCTGGGCAACATAACAAGACCCTGTCTCTAAAAAAAAAATACTTAAAAAAAAAAAGCAGTCCCAAATTAAAAAAAGAAAAAGAAAAAAAATAGCTGTGCATTGTGATATGCACCTGTAGTTGCAGCTACTTGGAAGGCTAAGGCTGGCAGATCCCTCGAGCTCAGGAGTTTGAGGCTGCAGTAAGCCATGATATCACACCACTGCACTCCAGCTTGGGCAACAGAGTGAGATCCTGTCTCTGAAAGTAAAAAGAAAAAAAAGCACTGAGCAAAAGATAGGAAAGGCTATTTGCATAGATCAAAAGGCTGATTCAAAGGTTTGACTTTGGCCAGGTGCAGTGGCTCATGCCTGTAATCCCAGCACTTAGAGAGGCCGAGGCGGGCAGATCATGAGGTCAGGAGATCGAGACCATCCTGGTTTACACGGTGAAATCCTGTCTCTACTAAAAATACAAAAATTAGCTGGGGGTGGTGGTGCACACCGATAGTCCCAGCTACTCAGGAGGCTGAGGCAGGAGAATGGTGTGAACCCGGGAGGCGGAGCTTGCATGAGCCGAGTCTGGACTCCAGTCTGGGTGATAGAGCAAGACTCTGTCTCGAAAAAAAAAAAGGTTTGACTTCATAAGTAATCAAATAAAAAAGAGAGGCCATTTATTATTGCTCATCAAATTGGCAAAATTGAACTACTTCTAGAAATCAGTTTAGCACCCACCGTGAGGGAGGCACGTGCTGGTTGGGGGGGATAGACGCTGGCTTTTCTGAGTGACCGGGTTTCTAAGTCTCCTAAGCAGGCTTGCCCTGGCACCTGGAAATTCTAAACATTGACAAGCTTACCTGTTGTCCTGCCATGCAAATCAAGAAATTTACAATGCTTTAATACTGATTCCATAATTTTTAAAACTAAAACTTCAGAAGCCTTCTCAGTAAGTCTTCTAGCCTCATCCATAAATTGGCAGGAAAAATAAAGGAAGTTTTGTTTAGTTCAGTACACCCCACCCTTTCCAGATCTGGCCCAAGTAATTACTAAAACTGTATATATAGGGTGTGTGGCTAATGTAATATCTATTTTCACCCTTTTGAAACTTTCATAGTTTTTTTTTAAAAAAATATGAGAGCTACTGTGTGAGATTCGAGAATAAGTTGCCGAAAAGATCACCTTCTTTTAGTCAAAGGAGACAGCAGCAAAAAAGAGGGAGGGTGAGCTAAGCTTTGACAGATAGGTTCTTTAAGATGGTCCCCGTCATGAACAGGGTATGAGAGGGATGCTGGGTGACATAACGAAGGGGACCCTGAGGTGGTAGCCCCAGGTCTAATTCTGAACCCAGGGAAGCTTTCCTCAGCCTCCGTCTTCCATCCCAGGAAACAGTGGTCAGCGCTCCTTGCAATCCGGTGTTTGAACTGCCATTATTTTTGGGACACCTACTGGATTAGTTTGCTCAGGCCACTAAGTTAGTGTCCACACATACATGTACATAAGCTAGTCTCCCAAACAAGGGAACATGTGTGACATCCGTTTGCCAAAGAGAATTGGGTTCCAGTCCTCGAGGATTAACTCGTCCTGTAAAAGATGAGGAATGCACCATTTGGCAAGTTGGGCATCGCTGGATAGTAGCTTTAGCTTCTTTCCAGGTAACGCCGTATCTGCGTTTGAGACCAGAGGCATTAACATGGGTCAAATTGTGAAAGTGTTGAGCATTAGATATTGCAGTAGCTCTAGGCGATCAGCCATTTGATTCCCTTCAGCCCTAATGTGGGTGATGTAAAAAGGGTGCATTCTGCTCCTAACTGCTGTTTGCAATTGGGTAGATAACTCATCAGCTGTTCATTTGTATGAAATCATAACTGAGCATTTTCAATTAACTGGGTGGAGTGAACCACGTATGAAGAATCAGAAATCACATTAATAGGCCTATCAAAAGCAGTCAATATCTCAGTTACAGCTACAAGCACCGCTTTTTGAGCTGAAGTACAGGACGTCTGAAAAACTTTACCTTTTGAGCCGGAATAAGAAGCTTTACCGTTACTAGACCTATCTGTAAAAACATTCTCAGCACCTTCAATTAGTTTAAAATTAGTTATTTTAGGGAGAATTCAATTAGTTAATTTCAAAAACGGAAACAGTTTTGTTTTAGGAAAATGATTATTGAGAATACCCGCAAAGTCACCTAAATGGATTTGCCAAGTAGACTATTTATAAAGGCTTGCTGCATTTGTGCCTTCATGAGGGACAATGATTTTTCCAGGATCATATCCATGTAATTTAACAATCCGAGTTCTCCCATTTCCTATCATGGTAGCGATTTGATCCAAACAAGGAGTTAGAGTCCGTGAATTAGTATGTGGAAGAAAAAGCCACTCTCGTAAGTCCTGTGCTTGGACAATAACACCAGTAGGTGAATGCTGAGTTGAAAAAATTAGCAAATCTAGAATCTTCTCTGGATCTATTCTATTTATCTGAGCTTTATGGACTTGCTTCTCAATCAGTTGTAACTCGACTTCAGCCTCCTTTGTTAATTGCTGAGGGCTAGTGAGACTAGGATTTCCTCTAAGGATAAAAAACAGATTACTCATGGCATAGGTAGGAATGCATAGAGCTGGTCGTATCCAATTATGTCCCCTAGTAATTTTTAAAAGTCATTTAATGTTTTTAATTTATTCTTTCATATGGTTACTTTCTGTGGTACAATGGTAGTGTCATTTACTAAGGTCCCCAAGTAGGGGTAAGGAGTAGTAATCTGAATTTTGTCAGGAGCTATAATTAAACCAGCACGAGAAATTGAATTTTGCGAGTGATCACAACACTGGCTAATATTTCTCAAGAGGGGGCAGCACAAAGTATATCATCCATATAGTGAGTAATGTAATTGCTTGCCCCACATACGTCTGGCAAATTGTTGGGCTGTTTGACATGCCCTGTGGCAACACTTTCCAGTGACAATGCTTAGCAGGCTGCAGGCTGTTTACTGCAGGAATTGTAAATGTAAACCGTTCACAGTCTTGCTCAGCTAAAGGGATAGAAAAGAAACAGTCTTTTAAATCTATTAAAAGCCAATTTTTTGGAATTATAGCAGGAGAAGGCAATCCTGGCTGTAATGCTCCCATAGGTTATATAACTGAATTGATGGCTCTTAAGTCAGTTAACATTCTCCATTTACCTCATTTTTTCTTAATGATGAAAACTGGAGAATTCCAAGGAGAAAATGTTGGAGCTATGTGCCCATATTCTAATTGTTCAGCAACTAATTTCTCTAAAGCCTGCAGTTTTTCTTTACTTAGCGGCCATTGCTGTATCCAAATTGGCTTATCTGTTAGCCATTTTAAAGGTATAGGTTTTGGAGGCTTAACAATGGCCACCATCAAAAATGATATCCTAATCTTTGGCGGGAACTTTTTCCACTTGAAGTGGTTCTTTCAAACCTTGCAAATGTTTTTCTAGTCCCATACCAGGGACATACCCCATTTCATGCATTGTATGTTGACTTTGAGGGCTGTATAATTGCTCTGGAATTAGAACTTGTGCTCTCCACTGTTGTAATTAATCTCTTCCCCATAAATTTGTAGGTATAGAAGTTATAATTGGTTGAATAGTCCTAGGTTGTCCGTCGGGCCCCTCACAATGCAAAATATAACTACTTTGCTATACTTCAGGGGCTTTACCAACTCCAACTATGTTAAATTGAGCGGGTTGAATTGGCCACATGGAAGGCCAGTCATGTAGAGAAATGATTGAAATGTCCGCTCCCGTATCAACAAAGCCTTTAAATTTCTTTCCTTGAATAGTTATTTTACAGGTAAGATGTTTATCAGTAATTTGACTTACCCAATAAGCTCCTTCGCCTAGTTTATTTGTGCTTCCAAATCCTCCTGTTCGTTTAATTTCACTTTTTCCCATTCCTACATACGGCACAATCAGGAGCTGTGCTATGCGCTCTCCTGGCTCTGCTTTCCGGGGAACAGAAGTAGATACAACAATTTGAATTTCCCCATTGTAATCTGAATCAATGACTCCTGTATGTATTTGTACGCCTTTTAAACTTAAATGAGGCCTTCCTAAAAGTAATCCTATTGTCCCTGCTGGCAAGGGTCCACAGACTGCTGTTGGGACGTTTTGTGGGAGTTCCCCAGGCAGAAGGCTCACAGCTTTTGTGCAGCATAAATCTACTGCGGCACTGCCGGCTATGGCGGGAGACAGACATTGTACAGGGCTGAGGGAATGACCTGAGCTGGAAATGCCCCGGTTTAGAACAGGGCCTGGGATGGGCCCCTCATGGCGTTTCCCAAAATCGGGTTCCCTTCTTTATCAAACTTAGAGTGACACTGACTAGCCCAGTGTTTTCCTTTTTTACATTGTGGACATATTTCAGGCTCAACAGTTTTCTTTTTTCCCCTATCTGGCAGGCTGACTTGCTGAATTTTTCTACATTCTTTTTTAGTATGACCATGCTTCCCACAGTAAAAACAAGCTCCAGGAAATGGAGTATTTCCTTTATCCACTCTCAGTCCTGCCATTGCCTGTGCCAACAAAGTAGCTTTGTGCAGATTACCTCCAATACCATCACAGGCCTTGACATAATTAACTAAATGTGCTTTCCCTCTGATAGGTCGCAGAGCAGCCTGGCAATTGGGATTAGCATT